ACAGCTCTGGGCTACACTGTGCCGTTTTCATTTCACGCAAGAACAAATTGCAAGCATTAAACGTGATTCCGTGCCATGGCGTCATGCATTTTTTGAACTAAAAAAATACTACGGATTGCGGGAGTTTTTCGCGGATTTGATTCATCTGTGCTGTCACTGCAAAGCCATCTTCTGGAAGGTATGTACTATTTTAAGCTTTTCCCGCACTCGAGCACATTTACTAAAACCATGACGGAAGAAAAAAGTTTACGGCTTTTCGATGTCATCTTGACGAGCAGAGTCTTTTAACCTGGGATAAAACGAAAGCTCTTTCTTGAAGTAGCCTCTCTCTCCTTGTTTGTGGAATTAAGGGATAATTTTTATGTCATGCTTCCTTCTAAAGTACTGATCATCATAGTCATCGATACAGCAGATATAACTGTGTCCGGCGTGTGGTGGAAGCATCCCGGTAACATCACTAACATGAGATACACACACACACAACAATTGTCCAGGCGTTCTTGTTGTTACGGGGAGTCTATGGCTAACGATTGGCAATAGAGTCAAGTTTTTTTAGCACCTACACTTCTTTTTCAGGTTAACTATAGCATCTGAAATTCCAACTTTTATTGCTCCCCGGTAGAATTCAAATTTTGAGAAAGTTTGTGCAACATTCTCGTTTCATTTGACATCTGAATTATGCGGTTTTCAGGATCATGGGCATCCATGTATATCGAAAGATACCCCATCGGTCAGAGTTACGCCGCAGCAATTTGTTGATATGTTGCTGTTTCTTTGAACAGTTTGTTTGATGATTTTATCGCATACTTCGAGTACTTATGGTGTGTACTAAAGCTTGTGATTTTTTTTGTCGACCCGTTTATTCCTTGTTATTTTGATTTAGTTCTCGTTTTGTCGTAGCTCAGCTTTTTTTCTGGATGTTCAGAAGAGTCGAGTAATCGTGAAATTCCTTATTCTTTGATGTCTTTCAAGGCGTTTTTGTCGAAACAGACACCGGCAGAAGTGCCACCAAAAAGCTTTTATATGAAGTTATCTGGTTCTGCATTATTTTCCGGTTGATACGCTTATGTGATTCATTTTTCGGTGACAGTTTGTACGTGTGCTGTAATTTTTCAAATTTCCATAAAAGTTTTCGAAATTGATTCTTCCTCACAACAACGGACACGAAAAATCGATTCACCGAGCTTGTCTGTGTGATCGTACGTTTTTCCGTTAAACTTGTGACGCGCAGATCGGTAGGCAGTGTGAATGGTTGTTGCTTTACAGTTTAACATGTGCACTGGTGTTGCCAGTTTTTGGTTTTTCCTGCCTGCAAGGGAAAGGGGCTTCAGCTGAACGACACTGCCGCATTACGGGGCAATTAAAGTCTTGACTTGCAGCATGCATAATTATCAAAAGGTTCGTATGAGGGGAAATTTAAAGCCTCCGGCTGGGACGCACCAGGCTCGCTGGTACGATGCGTTTCCGCATTGCATTTGGAGCGGTCAGGTCGATAAAAACGAGGTTGGTTTCTGAGTTACAGTTTGAACATG